ACACACACACACACCCACACATACAAACACACACACACCCACACATACAAACACACACACACCCACACATACCCATACACACACACACCCGACTAACCTGCCACCTTCTATCATCAAACAAAACACAACACGACTTCTCCAAGAAAGAACTCTATTTTTACACTGTTATATTAAACAAGTTACCAGACTGTTATTCAAAGATCAGTTTACAGTTTAGGCATTTAAATAACTTTTTTGGTTTGAGGGTTTTTTTAAGTACCACTGCTGACAGCCTGTCTCGCGAACCCACACCCTGCTCTGAGACAGCACCCCCTCATCTGGCAGCACAAGCAGGTCTGTCACCACCCCCCATGATGGGTATCGTCCGTGAAGGGAACCTTTAAGGCGTACCTGGCTGGTGTTGAGGAGCGCATGCTGACCTGGTTCTCATCTACACTGCGTCTCCGATACCCGTCCAGACGCAGTGCGGCCAAACCTGTAGGATGAGGAAGTGGCTGACCTGGGTGCTGGTGTGTTTATCGCCCTGGCAGCCTGAATCCTCTGCCCCCCACCCCCCACGCTGCTCTTGCCCTTCAGTGCCCCCAGTAACATACACCATTTTGGATTCAGGATCTGTGTAAGGGCTTGTTTAAAGTGCCTTTCGCTGCCAGGTATCGGCACCGCTGTACGTCACGGCGCTGGACCTCATGCCTTGAAGGAGGTGTCAGACAACGGTTTGCATTTTTCGCTCGGCGGCGGTGAGGTGAAATGTGTCCAGAGAGAAGCCTCTTGCTCACTACAGTCTACTTCTCCTTTTTCACGCTTCCAGCTAAATGAAAGTGATCCTTTAATTGCCTCACATCATTCACTGGTAAAGGAATCGTCTGATTGCAGCCAGGAAGAGCGGCTGCACGGTCAGCTTTCAGCCTTTGTGGTGCCATACTCCCGATGACAGACCTACCTGGAAGGGCAACTATGGCCTACATTTGTACAGGTGGGGTATTTGTGCGTCCAGCTTCCGGGGAGTGATCCCCTTTGGTCTGAATAACACGTCTACACAACCTGACCCTGACGGGTCTCGTCATTTTGGGAGTAAATGAGCACAAGAGTCATTCAGGCAGCCATTGTGTGTCACACTCTGCCAAATGCTCCCTTTCTCAGGTCTTGGCCTGTTTGTCATCTGTTTTGTCTCATTTCCTGAATCCTTCAGTAAAATGGCCTCTATTACTGAGGTAAAATGTTTTTTATTATTGTTTTCAAAGATGACATGACCATTGTTTCTTTTTTTTCTCTCTTCCACGGTTCCACCTCCTTTTCTGGCAAAACCTATTAAGAATGTAAACAATGTCTATTTCTGTCATTCAGCGTGTGCAAAACACTTGGTAACTGAAGCCGTCGGCAGCCGTCTTTCAAGAGCTTTACTCCCCTTTCCCCGCCATTAGGGGGCGGTATTTCGACAGGGTCCGGCACACGTCATTTCCTTGATGGCAGGCAAAGTGGACCCTTAAATCTTTTTCCCCCTGCGACTTCCTAAAATTAGTTTTGTATGAACATCACAGTCAGCTTTGTGAAAACCGTACAAAAACGTAATGTCCAGATAGCTAATATGACAAGACTGGCAGGTGCTGTTCATGCCTCAATCACGGATGAACTGTCTTCGATGACATTATAATATAGATTAATGAAAACATTAAACATTAATTTTGTGAATGACTCGTCTGGTTTGTTATTTTTTAATGCACACTTGACGACAGCTAGTGTGCCTTAAATGTATGTTTTACATTTTTTACGATTTGTTCTTGTGTAAGTCACCGCTACCTTTAAACTGTGGCTTGGTCTTTAGATGGTAGGAGCGTAAAACGCCTTTGCCGAATTTCCTTAATTTTTTTTACATGAAATCAAAGCGGATTAATTGGAGCCAGAGATGGATCCAAAGAAACGCGGCACCATTCAGTACCTGCCCTGCCAGACCCACGTCGGGGGGGCTTTGGGGGTCGCTCCGCGGACGCGGGGGGGCGCTAGCGAGTCGCTCTGGGTTTTATGTGCGCAGAGGTGCGGAGCGTGCGGCCCCCGTGGCTCTGCACCCAGTTGAAGATGGCGGTGTCCGTGTTCTCCGGCGTGCGGCTCCTCTCCATCGTGGATGCCAACGGAGAGATACAGCGGCACTCCGAGCAGCAGCCCCTGAGGCTGGAAGTGAAAACCACGCCGGACGCGGCCCTGCTTAACCTTTCCAACGGTGGGTAGATCCTGGCTTTCCTCTGCAGTCTCCCGGCCGGCCCAGGAGCGACCGAAAGCCGGCTAGGATCTGCGCTCAGTCCGCGCAGCGCGGCCCGGTCGTCTTATGTTGCCTGTTGTCGTTTCTTCCGCCGTAGCCCCGCGATCGCTTAACTTCGGACGTGCAGTATTTTCTCCCCCCAAAACTCCATGGTGGGACCGTACACGTTGCGGAGCGCCTTAGTCAGACAATCCGTATCCTCATCGCTGACACAAGCACCGTGTCCAGGTGGTGGCTTTCGGTTCCGATCCGAAACTATAGCGTACGGCGACCCGCCACGATCATGCCGTGGTCAGGACGTTGTCTGCAGCCCGGAGATGCCGGATCGCAGCGCCGATACCCAGGAGGGGGTAACTTTTGTCGACCGATTTGCATTAATTACAGTGTAACCAGTTTTCTCCTTTTTTGGATACGTGTAGGTTAAGTGTGACGCTGCATCGGAGGGACTGACAGCCGCGGTGGATGCGCGCGTTGTCCGCTCGGAGCGGGGTCGCAATGCCGCTGTGCACCGCCGTCCGGGCGGCTGTCTGACGCCGCACGGTGTCTACGCATTTCCCGCTGCGATCTGCCACGCCGGCCCGGTAATCGGACACCCAGCCTATGCAGCGCGGCTCCTCCGAAAAGCCCATGGAATCTTCCTGCGGCTTTTCATTGCGGCCTCAATGAGCGCGTCCCGCTGCCGCCCCCCGGTTCTCGGTCCGCAGTGAACAATGGCGCCCCCGCCCCCATCTCCGGCTCCCACGCTTTGGCGGCTCCCGATCGAGCCGCTTTTTGTTTAACGCCGAATGGCGCAGATGGGGAAGGGAGGCCTTCATGTGGGACATTTCGTTTTTTTTTTCTTGCCGCCGGCGATGTTAACAATCAAAACCCGGCAGTTGTTATACACGAGTTGCCGCCGTCTCTGTGCTTTTGCGGTGTGTTTATTAGTGTTTCCCCCCCAGCGCAGAGTGAGACCCGCGTAAGCCCCTTCGGGATGTCTCATGGTGCCGCTTATAGGCATGTATCTCATATAAGACCGGGGCAGTTCGCCTGCGAAACGCAAGCAGCGCAAGTTACGCAAAAGCCCAAGATTTCAGCGTGAGATCATACGTGCGGCTAGGAGAGGGCAGCCAGCCCTGCTCTGCAACCTTCCCCTCCAGCCACCTTTCGTGCGATAATTTTACGGTGGAGCCCGGGAAATATATGGTAAATGTGCAGAGGGAGAAATGCGTGCTTGTTTCTCGGGGCTAGAGGCACATATGTCAAGCCCACCAGGCAAATGACATTTAGGAAGTTGTTTTCTGAACCTGTGACTTGAAAATGTGATCAGTTAATAAGTGAATACTTAGGAGCGTTAATGCTGGAGGTGGGACGAGAAGGCTACTGTCATACAGGTATTGTTTTGGGGGGTGCTCGATTAATTCTGCGTCTTTGCGGTTCCCTGCTCTGAAACTTACCCCTGGATGTCCTGGGCGTTCAGATTGCAGCGATGGCTTGATATTTGGTCATTTTGCTTTCAGATCCTCCTAGCAGAGGAACTTGGGCCTCTGATTAGGCTCTGCGCCCCTGCTGCTTTAACCCCGGTCACATGTCTGGGTGTCACTTCCTCAGATGGCAGCCGGCCTCGTGTTTGTTGAGTCCTCCGACTGACCCCTGTCCATCACATTCGCTTGGTGGTTGAGCAGTAGCCGTCCCTGTGTGGATTATTCTGGAAAGGCAGGTCCGTTTTTGTGAGTTTGTCTTGTGGGAGGTCACTGTGTGTGCTGGTCCATTTCTTGTCCTTTTTCAGTGGTTGAGTTTCAAGCCCAGTTCTGCTGGCTTTGTTCCTCTGGGTTCCGTGGACATTTTAGGGTTGTCTCTCAAAATCCAGTCCTGGGTTGGACCCCAGGCCTCACTGAGACATCATTGACTCATGATGATTATGTGAACTCCTACGGAGGTCCGCTTACGGAGGTCAGCTTGCGCTTCATGCTGTTTTGTGACGTTCAGACTGTTGCTGTGTTCCGGAGTCTGGTTTCCCGCTCTCTCTGCTCTCCAAACGGGAAGTACGGCACTATGACGCTGCCCCCGACCCCATAACCCTCCACGCCATAAGTATCTCTCAGCTTGGCTGCCGCGTGACCCTAGAGGCGTGCTGTCCGCCTCGAGCTTTACAGATACAGGCCATGAGGTCATCTTCAGCTGTGCTCCTTCCTGAATGAGTCTCTCGGTTTAAATAGGTTCTTTGTGAAAATAAGACACAGGCTGGGCCTCTGTGTCTGTGATCGGAAGGTTGCCGGTTCAAATCCCTGGGTCGACAGCGTCGCCACATCTCTGTTGGGCCTTTGAGCAAAGGTTATTACCCCNATAAATAAAAAGGCTTCTCACTGAGAAGTTTAAAAGCGGCGTGTGTGAATGGCGTGGGGGTGCGGTGTGTGTGAGCGGCGTGTGTGAATGGCGTGTGTGAGCGGCGTGTGTGAATGGCGTGGGGGTGCGGCGTGTGTGAGCGGCGTGTGTGAATGGCGTGTGTGAGCGGCGTGTGTGAATGGCGTGGGGGTGCGCCATGTGTGAGTGGCGTTGGGGTGCGGCGTGTGTGAATGGCGTGGGGGTGCGGCGTGTGTGAGTGGCGTGGGGGTGCGGCGTGTGTGAGTGGCGTTGGGGTGCGGCGTGTGTGAGTGGCGTTGGGGTGCGGCGTGTGTGAGTGGCGTGTGTGAATGGCGTGTGTGAATGGCGTGTGTGAATGGCGTGTGTGAGCGGCTCCTGCTGACCGTGCGTCTCCTGCAGGTCTCACAGGCCGCCTCGGACCTGAAGGGCTTCTGTCTGCAGAATGCACACAGGGACCCCCTCCTGATGGGGGTGTCATCCAGTGACAACCCCTTCAGACCCCCCAAGTCTTGCAGCCTCTTCTGAGGTAAGCCTACCTCCATTCCGCTGCTTCCCCTTGTGCCCACAGGGGGCGCTGATCTGTTTCCCCATACATGAATGTCAATCTGTGTTTTTCCGCTGCTCTTTTGCGTGTACTCTGACCTCCTGCTGCCCCCCCCCCCCCCCCCCCCCCCCCCCCACCACGACTTTTTTTGTTGGGGGGGGGGGGGGGGAATGCATGCCAGTGTTCCTGCTCTCATACGTGTACAAATGGCAAGTAAAACATTTTATTTAAGCAGAACTTGGCACATTGTCTGTCTAACGCTGTTCTTCTTGTCTGTCTCGAAAACGTGCCTTTGTGTTTCCATGTGACTGGGGTGCATGCGGGTGGGCCGGGGGGGGGGGCCTGGCCCGACTCACAGGCTCATCCCTCTTTCAGCAGAGGAAACGTGTCTCTTCAAATGCTCGGTGTCACGGCAGACAGAGTGCAGCCGTGTGGGCAAACAGTCCTTCATCATCACGCTGGGCTGCAACAGTGTCCTGCTGCAGTTCACATCCCCAGCAGGTAACGCTCCACCACGCCCCCTTCAGGCGGGGCCACTGCTTTTCCCGCCCCCTTGGCTGTCTGAGGTCTTAGGCGGGAATTATTCTGCGTCCCATTTACGTCAGAGGTTGGAAGTCGGTGCTGGGAATGACACCCAGTTAACCACGTTCCAGTACAATGAATCGGAAAACCATTTAGCAGTACCAGTTTCAGAAAGGAAGATTTCTTGCTTGGCTGGATGACTTGTCAGATTTAAGGAACCCCAGTTTAAATGGCCTTTATCTTCATTCACCTACATTTAGCTCAGACTACCTTAAATTTGGCAAGTTATCCATCCAGTTGTTAGCAATATCAGTTGATAACGCATTACACTGTATTTCGTGCATACAAACACCGTAGCAATATGTCCGCAGATAGAGGTTGGACTGTACTGTGTGTGACTGATGTAATGAACCCCAAATAAGACATTATTACTAATAAACAGTATACAACTTCAGCTTTAACTTCTGAAGGGTGCAGCCATCTTGAATTCTGAGGTTGGGGTTGCAGAGGTTGCTCCAACTTTCCTAGTCGAAACTCCGACGTCAGGGGGCATTTCTGTTGAAATTTCCGAGTTCAAACGCTTCTGTGGCTGAAAAGCGATGCCCACACACTCTCACTCTCTCCAGACTTTAACTCATTCTACAACATCCTGAAGAATAGCCGCGGACACAGCGTGGAGAGGTCCGTGTTCAGTGAACGGACAGAGGAGTCCTCTGCTGTGCAGTACTTTCAGGTGAGCGCCCCCTGCAGGCCACTGGGAGCAGTATCTGTCTCCTGGTTTTTATTCCTGAGCCTTTTAGGATTTGCTCTTTTCCTTCCTCAGTTAGTTGGCATTTTAATCTGCATGCAAACTGAAGGTGTGTGATCCGTGTGTAATCCATCTCTCTGTCCCCAGTTTTATGGCTACCTCTCCCAGCAGCAGAACATGATGCAGGATTACGTCCGGACAGGAACGTACCAGCGGGCCATCCTTCAGAACCACACTGACTTCAAGGACAAGGTGCTGGGTGCCGTCCTGCCTGGGCCCGCGGGTCTGCCATAGGTTCCCATCATGTGTGAATCAAGCAGCAGGTCATATAGCAGAAATCTGTGCCTAACACTGATTACTGCCAAACAAGGCCTGTTTCCATGTGAACCATCAGGGAACATGGCTGGTCGCAGTTAGCCTTTGACCCCTCAGCCTGAGGTCACATGACCACTTTGGCTGTTAGGTCTTAAAGGAGAGTCGGGGGGGGGGCGCTGTGGGATGGGGCCGTGGGCCCTAGTGAGCCTAACTGCGGCATGTGGGGGATGTTCCTGCTCCCCGTGGCTAATTAAAACTGATGCCGCAGTGAAGGAAGTGAGGAGAAGATGACTCGGGTTTGTCGAGCCTGACGGACCGATGATAATGCGGATGTAGACCGTTGGCACGCTTGGCATGTGACGTTCAAACAGACCCCTTGTTTACTGTGGGCCAGAGGTTCTCTAGTGGCTGTTTAAGCTATTTAGTGTCTTTGAGTCCCTCCAGGCCACTAGGGCGGCGCTCTAAGCACCATTCAGTGGATATTGACTAAATGGACCTTCCAGATGAGTTGGCGTTTCCAGTTTTGGTGGGCAAAAGTTGGTGTAGTATGTGTCACATATCTCAGCAGATGGCACCTGGGGGGCGGACACTGCGGGGCGTTAAACACACTTCCCTCTGGCGCAGGTGGTGCTGGACGTGGGCTGCGGCTCTGGTATCCTGTCCTTCTTCGCGGCCCAGGCAGGAGCGCGGAAGGTGTACGCGGTGGAAGCCAGCACCATGGCGCAGCACGCTGAGGTGAGCCAGCGCCCGCAGAAGCTGCCCTAACAACTGTGTGAAGGCTTATCCAGGTGGCACAAGGAGAGGAGAAAACACGTCTATTTCTGTTTGGTTTGTAGTTTCTGCAGTACAGCAGACATGGGTCTGAAATGATAATGTATTTTATGTAGTAATACCTCTGTGTCCTGCTCTCTAGGGCTGCACTATATCATATCGCGATTATACAGCGCAATCACAATAATCGCTTGGCTTTAGAGGAGGGGCGGCCATGTTTGTCCAGATGCCAGTTTTTCAGTAGTATACAGATTATTCCATGATATTCCCACTGCCTACTGGCTGAGATTGACAGGCCCGAACCGAAAACCCTAATGTGCTGTCAGCCCAGCTTTCTCGTGTTGACCGCGAGTCTAACATCGGGAGAGGCTATTGGTCCATAAAGGGCCGTCAGCACCATGTTTAATTTGGACAGTAAATACTGTATAGTTTAACCACTTATCAATTTCAGATGGAAATCGCAGTTTGAAACAACGCGATTAGCGAATCGCAAAGACTTAATTGCAGAACATGATGCAGGATCGCAAAGACGCAATTTAGGAAATGTATTTTACAGCACGTCTGAACGAGGGTTTAAAACTGTGAGAATAGTTTTACAAATTCATGCCGTTCTTGTGTGACAGTCATGCTCACCAATCAGAAGTGGCCCAAGGTGGCTGTCTATATGCCCACAAACACAAGGAAAAGCTTCCACTCACAATGCGAGAAGATACTGATCCCGCTGCTGAGCTATAAGCAAATTACCTATTTTGTGGTCAGAGATTGTTTACAGAAAGGTCCTGTCATTAAGGCTCCAGGCAGCGGAAGCTGCCGGCTCCCTGTTTTATTATTGCTTTATCTAACTTAAGTCACAGCTTATGTAATAAGTGTTTTATGTTTGATCGTTCTCTGCTAATTTAACCCTTGTGTACACGGGACTTTCAGAAAACTTTACTAAGGGTAAAAAGCTCTCCGGCGCTGTTGGCAAAGGTCACTTAAAATGGGCACGTAACTATATAATCCATTTTACCATGTTCGGGTCACTAGTGACACAGCACTTTTTTGGCAAATAAATTACCATAAAACAAATATTAAGGTATTTTGTCTTAAATTTCTAGTAAATTGTTGTGGGTGAAGAGTGAGTGGCATAATCGGGAAACGGCATCCACACCGAATCATACGACCATCATCATATGACGATGTGAACAGTTCAGTTTGTTTAGAAACTGTTCGTAGTGTCCAGGAATTAGGTATTCAGTAAATATGTGTACAGTTACAGCTACCTGTGGCTCAGTTTTTAAATATGTATTTGCCAGGCTGTTCCAGACACATTGAGAGATGAACACTGGAGGCTGCTGGAGCCGCGCTCAGCTTTTTTGGGATTTTTCTTGTTAAAGCTTTTGAGTTATAGAACATTAATATCGTTGCTTGGTTATTAAACACCATCTAACGTGGCCCAGAGAACTTTGACAACGTGCTTTGATAACTGGGCCTTAATGTTGAAAAGGTGGAGAATCATGGCTGTAAGATGAGCTTGGTGACTTTCTCATAGAAAAACTGTGTGTTCAGTTAAATCCTGAGCAAGTCCCTCAGAGCCTCAGCCACCCCCCGGATCCTGCCCCCCCAGGTCCTGGTGAACAGCAACGGGCTGACAGACCGGGTGGTGGTGATCCCGGGCAAGGTGGAAGAGGTGGCCCTCCCCGAGCAGGTGGACATCATCATCTCGGAGCCCATGGGCTACATGCTCTTCAATGAGAGGATGCTGGAGAGCTATCTGCATGCCAAGAAGTTCCTCAAACCCAACGGTGAGGCCCCTTGCCGGACCCCCCACCCCACCCCCCCTTGCTGCTGTGGCACTTGCCGGTAACGGTGTTATGTGACCTCACCTGTGCAGGTAACCTGTTCCCCACCATCGGCGACGTGCACCTGGCCCCCTTCACAGACGAGCAGCTCTACATGGAGCAGTTCACCAAGGCCAACTTCTGGTATGGCTACCGGGGGGGCGTGGCCTGTGTGTGCATATGACCTGTGAGGGCGTGGCTATTGAGCATACCGGGTGGCACTGGATTATACCATTATACTGCAGTGGCAGGTGATACTTTCCGGGAAGCGGTGTTCGGTCGGGTTTCCCTTCATGGGTTGAGGTCTGTGTCCTGTGTCCTGTGCCCAGTTTAACCACTTCACCTTGTCTTGGGTGGTGGCTGGCTTCCCGGTACAGACCCGGTTTGTAAACCAGATCCGGTCCAGACAGGCAGCCCCTTGTGAACTTATGGGTGATGCTATAACTCCTCCCTTTTCTCCCTGGCCCCGCCCCCAGGTACCAGCCGTCCTTCCATGGTGTCGACCTGTCTGCCCTCAGGGGAGCCGCCGTCGACGAGTATTTCCGGCAACCGATCGTGGTGAGTTGGGGCTCAAAGCTTCGCCTGAACTGCTTGGGGGGTGGGGTGGGGTGCGGTGGGGGGGAGTAACCTCAACCCCTCCAGAGGACCAATCACATTTTGTTAATCTTGCCGGGGGTGAAATCAGGAGAGAAGACCTATGGTGTTACAGGGAAGGGGGCATATTGAAACAAGTTGATGTTTTGTATGGGCATGTAGTCGGGGGAGGGGGGGGGGCACATCTGCATGAATGACTGTGTGTGTAGCTGGCAGCAGGTGATTATCTGGCAGCTTTGAGATGTTCTTCAGACATTCGTTTCCTTCCCATCCGTAAGTTGTGAGTGATCCAACACGAATGGCTGCTGGCCCCAGAGGAACCTCTCTCTCTCTCTTCCAGGACACCTTCGATATCCGAATCTTGATGGCCAAGTCGGTGAAGTACACTGTCAACTTCCTGGAGGCCAAGGAAGGAGATCTTCACAGGTCTGGCCCCATGTCCCTTGCCAACGTTTCTCTGTGGCCTTGCTTTGCCATTTTCGCCTGTGTTTCTTGAACTTAAGTGTGCTGTCTGTGTGTCATCGAAGGATAGAGATCCCCTACAAGTTCCTCATGGTCCATTCGGGCCTGGTGCACGGCCTGGCCTTCTGGTTTGACGTGGCTTTCATCGGTTCAGTGTGAGTTGTCATGTGAAGCCGCTGGTGTGATGATTTAAGGCTGCGGGAGGGGTGGGAATCCCTGCCTGCCCCGTGTGATCCTGACCCCTCTTCTAACCCCCCCCCGCAGGATGACAGTCTGGCTGTCCACGGCCCCAACGGAGCCCCTCACCCACTGGTACCAGGTGCGCTGCCTGCTGCAGTCACCCCTCTTCGCCAAGGCTGGAGACACCATGTCCGGCACGGTGCTGCTCATCGCCAACAAGAGGTGAGGGGCCAGGGCCTCATCTCCCTAGAGATGCCCCCCCCCCAATGCCCTCTCTTGTGACACCAGCCAACCTCCCCCCCAACCCTTGCACTCCGACAGGCAGAGTTACGACATCAGCATAGTGGCCCAGGTGGACCAGACCGGCTCAAAATCCAGCAACCTGCTAGATCTGAAGAACCCCTTTTTCAGGTCTGTCTCCCAAGCCGCTGGGGGTTGGTGTGGGTGGGGGGGCGTGTCTATCTGACTCGCCCAGCTGTGCTTCTCTCACAGGTACACAGGGGCGAGTCCAGCACCTCCTCCTGGCTCACACTACACCTCCCCGTCTGAAAACATGTGGAACACAGCGGGGGCCTACAGCGTAAACCAGGGCATGGCTGTCTCGGGTAAACGCGGTCAGCCCTGCCTCCACCCCCCCTTTGGTCACCCCTCCCCATCACTGACCCCCTTCCTCCATCTTACCCCCAGGGATGCCTGCGGCCTATGACCTCAGCACCGTCATCGGCAGTGGCTCCTCGGTGTCACATAACAACCTCATTCCTCTGGGTAGGGACCGACTGGCCGGGCCGTGGGTGTGGGTGGGTGTGGGGGGGTGAGGCTCGCATGCTCGCGTCACCATGGCTGCTCTCTCAGGCTGGATACTGAAGGGGTGGAGTTTACAGATGGGGCGGGGCCTGGTCTTCCTGTCGCCGTACTGTGACCCTGTTGACTTTCTCTCCGCTCACCCCCTCTCTATCCAGTCAATGCGGGGATTGTGAACCACACCCACTCCAGAATGGGCTCCATCATGAGCACGGGCATCGTCCAAGGTATGGCGCCCCCTTCGGACTGTGGGTTGCCAGCATGCGGGGTGCTTTGAATCCTGGGTGTCCTGTTCCGAGTGTGAGACGATCTGCTGGTGTGTGTGTCATCTTTTCAGGAAGCTCAGCTGGCCAATCAGGACCAAGCAGCAGCAGCAACAGCCCCCACTACCCAGTGAACAGCCAGCTGACCATGGGCGGCCCACCCCTCTCCATGGCCTCTCCCATGGCCATCCCCAGCAGCACCATGCACTATGGCAGTTAGGGCCCCCCCAGCCTGCCCAAGGTGCATAAAGCCCACCCCGACCCCTCCCTCTCCCAACAAGAGGAAAACCAAAACTGGCGACTTTCAAAAAGAGCCCTTTTTTTTGGGTCATCTCAGCGGTATTCTGCACCTTTGCACCCCCACTCCAGGCTCCTTTCTCCACACCTTCCCATCAGTTTCAACAGTGCCCCCCCCCCCCCACAAGGCCCACCTGACCTGGCATGATTCCGTCGCCCATTGGCAGCCCATATGCTGAAGGACAGAGAGACTGTTGCACCGGACGCGATACTCGTTATTCCCAGGATACTCATACGTGTGACTCCCAGACTTGACTGTGCCGCCCCATTCGGTGAGCTTGCTTTCACCCCTGAACCCATCACAGTGACCTTCACGCTGGTCACGTCCTCTGGAGTGTTACTCTGCCCGTGGTGTTTGGTGGGGCTCCTCCCACTTTGGGTTCCTCTGCCGGGAACGAATCCTTCTGCTCGTCTCAGAACTTTGCGTAAGCAAAGTGTTTCTGCACAGAGATTTGTGGGTTAGTCGACTCGGAGGACCGGGACACCGGGGTTCTGCCGCACAATGATCCATTTTGTGTGTGTGTGTGTGTGTGTGTGTGTGTGTTTTTGCTACGCTGAGCTTCCCGCTAGTCTAGCAGGTGATACTCATCTAAACGTGCACCTCTCCACCTGTAGACTTCCAGCATTTTCTAACTGAACCCACCTCCCCATACTGCTTAGGTGGATGATGTGGGCAGGTTGTGAGATGAGCTCTGGGCCCCCTCCCCCTTTCTGTACATTTTGAGGAATGAACCCCAAAGAGGTCTGTTGGGGGCAGGGTGAGTGTAGAGCATGGCCTGAGCCTCAGACTTTGGAGCGATGCTGGTTGGCTCAGCTGTGCCATCCTCCCTATCCTACGTTCTGAGACCAACAGGCCGCTGTGTGTACCTTTCGTTCCCCCTCCCTCCCCCAAAGGCAGTATTTGTTGCCTCAGCTGTGAACAGAGAAACAAGCAGGTCTCTTGTTTGCTTTCCGTCATAGGTCATGGACTCTGTTAATTTTGATTTTGAAACTTTTTAGGAGGAACTTAGTGTCTTGTCTAGTTTGTAGAGTTTTACCTTTCCCCCCACCCCCTTTCACACAAAAGACAAACAAAAACGACAAAAAGAACAGATTAAACTGTGGAGAAGGCCTTTAATTTAATCTGTATTGGTGGCGATTTCCTGGTGTTTCTGTGGCTGCGGAGAACTTCCTGAACGTAGCCTAGCCACCGCTAGCCATCAATTGGCCTGCCATCAATTGGCCTGCCATCAATTGGCCTGCCATCGCCAGGTCTGCCATCAATTGGCCTGCCATCGCCAGGCCTGCCATCAATTGGCCTGCCGTCGCCAGGCCTGCCATCAATTGGCCTGCCGTCACCAGGCCTGCCAGCAATTGGCCTGCCATCAATTAGCCTGCCATCACCAGGCCTGCTATCGCCTTGTTTCATTTGCAGTCCAAACAAAGAATTTTCATTTTCGGTAATCAAAAAGTGTCAGTGGCCCTCAGGGGCCTTTAACCAGAGGGCTTCTGGCTACAAATTCCTTATTCCTTAATTACATAATTTCTTCATAATTTTCTTCCTTAAACAGTTTTATGTGCTGTTTTTTAAATCTGATTTTAGAGAGTCACTGTGAAATATCACACTTCACAGCTCCAGCTTAAGGCAGCAAACCTCTTCCTGCCAGTTTATCACCTCATCAGAAATGGCACCAGCTGTGCCCACTCAGGAGGGGGGCTGCAGTCATCTGTGTACCCATAATCCTCAGTGCCCCTCCCCCCCAAAGCTGGTATGCTGCCAGAGCGTGCTTGTATTTTTTTATTAAGTAACTGTCCTCCATGTTTGACTCTGGTGGTCTACGGCTATCAGTACCAGGGAACACAGTCCTCTCAGGGTGGTCATCAGTCTTCACCGGTTGACTGGCAGGTAAGTGAGTTGTACTAGCAAGGTCTCTCACCACATGCATCCAAGTTTACAGAAGTCAAAGTGAGATGGTGGAGGAGATCCACCCAAGACTTTGCTGCTAGTGCGAAGATATAGAAAATTCCTGGCTTAAATCCAAAGAAAGTGGTGTCTTAAATGAAGGGCTAGGGTTAGCAATAACTTCTACAGCACAAGTAGACGTGTAGGACCATAGATTTAATGAAATCGCATCCAGCTTCCATCACTGTTCACCATCTAGCATCCAGCCTCTTACCCGGGCCAGTGTTGTGAGGTCTGTTACCGTGCAGAGATATTTCATCTCCATACAATAACATTGCGAACATCTGAGACTTGAGGGCCAGTGTTTGGATAGAAGCCCAGGAGAAGAAGTGAGAATGTGCAAGAGCGTGGTGAGAGGCTCGAACAGCAGGGCCATAGCTGTCAGTGCGTCGGTTGTAGAGCTGGCAAGGTCAGCCAGCTAGACTAGACAGCAGGCGGCCAAGTCATTTATTTATAAAGCACATTTAAAATCAGGAAGCGCTCACCAAAGCGTTGTGCAACTTAGTCAATGGACCTGCCCTAAAATATATAAAAACAAATCAAATGGCCATCACTGTGCATACGAATCTAACAGTAACGTTTGTCCAACACTAACATTCAAGATGCCAATGAGTTTTAAGACTGATGGATGGAGCTGATCTAATGTGAAATGGAAGATTATTCCAAAGGGTCGGAGCAGTGACCGCAAAGGCACAGTCATCCTTGGACTATAACCGAGACCGTGGGACTGACGGCAGTGACCGCAAAGGGACAGTCATCCTTAGACTATAACTCAGACCGTGGGACTGACGGCAGTGACCGCAAAGGGA